AAAATCAACGTATGGACAAATATTTTTGTTGGCCTAGTGGACAAACTGTCACACACACTCGCACACGCACACACACACACGCACACACACGCATGAGTGTATTGCAGTTGCAGTTGCTGTTGGGGCAGTTGCTGTTTTGATTTATTAATTACAATTTATTATGCCGGATGTGTTGCCAGAGTGAGAGAGAGAGAGAGAGAGAGAGAGAGAGAGAGTGAGGGAGAGAGAGCGAGAGAGAGCGAGAGCAGTCTGTAAATGACACTCTACAAGTCAAGTTTTTGATAGTCCCTCCGCAGAGCAGCAAACGATTAGAAGATGAGCTTTAAACTCATGAACAGCTACGTTGACAGACAAAAGGAGAGTATGAGAGAGAGAGAGAGAGAGAGAGAGAGAGAGAGACAGAGACAGTGTCAGGTGGCAAACGTTTTCAATTTGTTGGCCACACAGCCGAGCCTCTGTTGTCATCCATGCTTACACATGTCCTTGGCCCCTTGGCCGCCCTGCCCCTCCCCCTCCCTTGTCCTTGATGCTTGTCGCTTTGTGTCCTTTGCAGCTGCAGCTGTCGCCCAAAAATATCTTTTGACTCTTTGCTCATCGCCGCCTTGCATCGTTTTGCCATAACTTTTGCTCCTTTGATGACGTCTGCATTTGCATCTTCCCCTCCTCCTCCGGCTCCTCCTCCTGCTGCTGCTGCCCCTCTGCTCAAAGTTTTTGGCCCAAACGGAATTTAATCTTAAAATGACCATTCGACTTCATTACAATTGATTTTGGCCACAAAGTGAGCAGCTCTGCTTAGATAGATGCCTATGTATAGACGGAAAAGATTTCATTTGATTTAGATTTATTACATTTTTACTTATGCTCATTATAGATATGGTATACTTCTTTTTAATTAATTTGCTTTTTGTATATACAGTAGAAACCGGCTATAACGACTCCGCTCATAACGTCCTTACGGTTATTGCGTCGATAATTCGGGTTCCCAGATATATGAGCAAACTTCTATGGCTATAGCGTGTTCCGGGTATAACGTCGATCCCTTGAGCATCTTTATAATTGGATTCTATATTTTATATATACATACTATACTCATATACATGTATATACAGTCAAGTCTCGATAATTAGTACCCCGTTAAATCGAAATTCGAACAAATTTCAAATTTTCTCAATAATTATCGATAATTTGAATTTCTGTGTAAATCGAAAGAAAGGGATCCCCTTGCCTTTTCGGATCATCGGTATTCTTTTGTATATAGAATAAGATATATCAAAATACTTTGTTTATTATATACATATGTATATATTTATAAAATTGATCTCCATTCTAGGAAGTTTATACTTGTATATATTTATAATATTGATCCCCTTTATGGGATTCTAGTTTTCCAGTTAAGACGGATACAGGTAAATATAGGTATATCCCTGCTATACAATATATATTTTACTATATTTCATCGATTACCTTATCTAGGAATTGGAATGATATTTATAGTTTTTTCTCAGTCCGTAATGAAATATCTCTTCTTCTTCAGTGAATCAATATTGAACTGAGGAACAAATGGATAATTGATTAATTTGGCATAGCGAATGCGCATTAAGTAGTCGCATATGCCCGACTGCAACGTTTCCGCTTGCCAATTGCCAAGTCAAACGCCTTGCCCCAAATATTTCTGAGTGTAGCATTGTCACAGCCGAGGGTTTTTAGTTTCCAATTATATCTTTATTAGTGGGCAGTGAAATATTTGCATGAGCAGTGCTGTGGGAGAGGGAGAGGGAGAGCGAGTCGAGTGGCGTCAACTCAAGGCGATTCGAGTGGCTGACAAAGCGGAGATAATTACGAATCGGACTACTAATTATAAAATCATAATGTTAAGTTAAATAATTTGAGCTTAAATATGTAGCACACGCACACACAGACACACACACACACACAGACATTTCTGTTGGCTGCGATCTGCGCGCAACATGTTCGAGTTGGCTCTGGTTGCAGCTCGATGCGTTGCCACAGTCGGAGGCAAAGTCAACTTGGAGTCTCTGTGCCGCACGGCCCTTGGGCCAAGTTAAGAAATTGACGGCTGACTGCGGCGTAATTCGTGTTGCCTTGGCTTAAGCCCAATGCCATCTCAATGGAATTTGATTTGTTTGCCACGGCTGCAGCAGCAGCAGGAGCAGAGGCAGGAGCAGCAGCGGGAGCAGAGTCACAATGCAAAGAAGCACGAATTTTTAATCTTATCAAAGCCAGAGCCAGAGCTAGAGCCAGAGCCAACAGCTGCTGCTGCTGCTGTAAAGATTGAGAACGCGCCGCCTGGGAGGCTAGAGCAGGAGCAAGCGCGGGAGCAGGAGCGGGGCTGAGTCTGTGGGCGGATTTAGCTCCATTTTCACTTTCTGCCAGCCTTTGGCCAGCGTCGACGCTTAAGTAAAACGTATGAACTCATTTTGCTGCTGGTTCGGGCTTTTAATATACTCAAGGATTTATGGGCACACACACACAGACACACACAGACACACACAGGCACAGCTTCAGTTGGCATGGCGTCGAGTTTATTTAAAAATGTCGGACTGCGGCTTTTGGTCAAAAAGTTTGCCGTCCGCTGCTGCTGCTGCTGCTCCTGCCGCTGCTGCCACGGCACAATGGCCGCATTGCTCATCTTGTCGTTCGCTAGATAAATGGCCCCGGGGACAATTTTAATTTACTGGCAAGCCAAACGATAACATGGCCAGAACGTGCCGTGTCTGGGCAAGTGGCCGCTCGCCTTGCTTCTAATTATTAATCAGATTTATCAAGGGAATGAGTATGGCCATCTCGCTCGCACTCGCACTCGCACTCGCACTCGGCCGCTCTCACTCTGTTTGCTGAATCCTGCTGCAGCATCAACTAGCTGTAATGAGCGCACATTGAGCCCATGCGGAGCTTGCAGCAATCAGTGTTGTGTTTTCTTTGCTCTATTTTTATTTTCAACAGCCCACATTTAGTTGTGGTCTCTCTCGCTCTCTCACTCTCTCTCTCTCTCTCTCTCTGTCTCTGTCTCTGTCTGTGTGTTTAGGTAGCTGCACTCATCCAATTGAGTGCGCAACTGTTCCTGTCAATTTACAGCGCGTTTGCATTTCAATCCCTTTTCAAAGGACTCGACTTAATTACAAAACCCATCCACTATCTGCTGCACCGCCCCCTGTCAGCCACCTGTCCCTGCAAGCACCGCCTCTGAGCGTATTCAGTCCCGATTATAGTTAAATATTATGGTACCCATGCTGGGCCCACCTCTCACCTCGCCTCACCTCACCACGCCTCGCCCCGCCTCGCATTCGATTCTGATTCACATTCCACTGCCTAAGCCTCGTTCTAATCGCTTTTAGGTTCAATTGTTGAGCCTGGCGCCGCCTCGCAGCGCAATTCCCATTCGGCTGCATTACCGAGTCAAGAGAATTAATGCGATTATTTAGTCTGCCAGCACTTGAATATAAATTTAACTCTACCCAAGAGCGAGCCAGCCGCTTTAATTGAAGCGCGTCAAAAATGCCGAGCTATGTGCGAGAGGGAGATGGCTATATCGGTGGGAAATTCGCGAATTCTTTCGGCTAAATATGTGAGCTGAAAGTAAGTGAATAAATATTGAATATAATTAATGCGGAGCGAGAGGTAGAGCTGCAGAGCAATATAGAGAGAATTTGAATTTAGTTGAGATGAGTTTGACGTCAGCTCGTCTCTCTCTCTCTCTCTCTCTCTCTTTTTTTCTCTCGCTCTCATAGTTGTCTTTAAAAGCTATTTAGCTCACCCCTTGGATCTACTCTTCGGCCTTGGCATACTTTACCTCCATATTTATACCTAATATTCTAACTCAGCCGTTTTATTTGCCTCTCTCTTTTTTTCTCTCTCTCTCTCTCTTTAATTCTCTCCCTCTCTTTAGTTTTTTATTGCTCTCTTCCTTTCTTTTTTCCTTTTGATACATTTTACTCCATCGCTCATGCTTGACTCTCATTTTTTCTTCTTCCCCCTCTCTCTATCCAACCGAAAAGTAGTTGAATAGAGAGAGAAGTGCGGGTGAGGTATATACATATAAAAATTTCAGTCTTTCTTTTTTCGTACCTCCCTCTCTCTCCTTTGTCCCTCTCTCTCTCTCTCTCTCTCTCTCTCTCTCTCTCTCTCTCTCTCTCTCT